CCTTTAGCATAAGAAGCTAAGGAGCTACGAGATCTCCCACAATCCACTGTGCAGATTCTTCATTCAAATCTTCTGCATAAATAAACTCAACTTTACAACATATAAACCATAAACACTATAGACACATCAGCCCGTTTGATCAGATCATTCAGCTCTGATCACATTTGTTTACGTTTTACAGAAACGAAACTTAAGACCGTTTGGCTAATTAGCATAAACTGTTAGCGGCGATAAAAACAACTCGCTCCTTGCGCCGCTGATGCGATCAGTTTCTTTTGGACTAAATGACACGACTCTGTGGATTATGTGTGTTATTTCTGTGACAGAAGAGGTGCTGATGATGGTGAGTCTGTTCCTGTGTGTGTGTTGTATAGGAGATAGTTCATGTTTTAGTTTTTCAGCGTCACACGAGTGCAGGTCGTACGAGTGCAGATTGTTACGTGTGCAGGTTTAGTGCAGCTCTTAATTTTACAGTCATTTCACTCGTTTGGTCACTTTATTTATGTTGGTCAATTTATTTATGTCACTACTGTTGTGTTGAGAGGCTGGAAAGTGTCTTTTGGACGCATGCGACTCAACTTTATGTTGCAGTAACCGGGATACTGCGTTTACATGCCACAAGTATCCCGGTTACTATCGGAATAAACCAGCTACAGTAACTCGGTTTCTAATAACCGGGACACTGCCATAACCGGGTTACTGAAACCGGGTTACTGCGTTTACATGCACCATCAAGAAACCGGGATACTCAAAAAACCCGATCATAACCGGGTTACTGATGTGCATGTATACGCACTCTATGTCTTCTTTTATGTCGTTCACTGTAGCCTCGTTATTAAGAATGCCAACATTAAGACGCCAAGCAGTGGTTTTGGGAGGGGTGTCTAACAGAAGGGTCAAGAAAACAGCGTTATGGTCCGAGAAATCAGCAACCTCAATGTTACAGTCCACGACTCTATGACATGCTTCATTTGGTAATAAAAAATAATCAATTCGAGAATGCACCAAATGAGGGATGGAATAGTGTGTAAAATCCTTCTGTAAAGGGTGGAATAGTCTCCAAACATCAGTTAAACCGGTTTCAACCAGTGTTCTATTTACATATTTGGTTAAAGGCCTTTTGTTTGTATTTTTTTTCTAGTTGTGTCCAGATTACAATCCAGTATCAAATTGAAATCGCCACCATAAATACCACTTCCTTCTGTTTCCATTGAAATAACATCAAACAGCTCTTTAAAAAAGGATTTATCACTATTTGGTGGTGCATACACGCAGGCTAGGGTTAAATATGTTATTTGTGACCTTACCCTTCACTATTATGTAGCGCCCTTCTTTGTCTTTAGTTTCTTTAAGGAGTTCAAAAGTAAAGGAGTTTGAGATAAGAACTGCCACTCCTCTTTTATGACTGTGGACATGAGAGCTGTAGTAGATTTTCCTATAACCAAATTTGTGCAATTTCTCATTCTCTTGTGGTGATAAATGAGTTTCCTGAAGGAAGATAATATGCTTATTTTCTTTTTTTTATTTCGTCATTACCCTAGCTCTTTTGATTGGATTGTCCAGACCGTTAACATTAAGTGTCATTACTTTAAGTCTTTGAGACATTAAGAAACAAAGAAAGATAATGCTCCTCCACCTCCACAAACCTCAGAAACATGAAACCAACAGAAACTACAACAAACCAATAAACAAATGAACTAGTATTGATAACATTTCTAAATGTCACAACTGTATGACTTCCAAAATGAAGTATATTTGAAATACACTCTGGGTTTTGTTCCCAAAAACATATGAGAGGGAAAGCCTCGCATTTATCGTGGGCCCCTCCTAGAATCAGCGAATAACTCAAATTGAGCTTCACTCATTCCAGGGTACGTTGTTAGCAACCTCAAAGCAGAGCAATTAAACAAAGCTTGAACCGTAAGTTGAGGAAATAATTGGGTCTATTTAGAGACGGACAGTACCTAAAGCTCCGGTGTGTGTGGAACTACACCGGTCTATGTTGAAACTCTTGAAGTCGGTTCACGCACTTGTTGGATGACTCCACTGTCACTTCGCCGGGTCACGGGTTGCCATGGTGAGTGCGTTCCAGCTGATCCAGTAGAGCTGCAGCGTTGAATCCTCCGCGCTCCCTGTAAAGGTTTCAAACTACCGGGGGGTAGCTTGAAGCTGATTTGAATTACCCCCGGTAATTTGAAAACGGTTTCAAGCTACCCCCCTTAACCCTAACCCCCGGTAATTTTGGTTTCAAATTACGGGGTTAGTTTGAAAACGCTACACCGGGGCTCTTTAACAGTGAATCCTCTCCGCTGCAAATCACGGACCACATCCGCTGGGCTGTGGTAGATCTGAGGGTCTGTGTCCCAGTGAATGTGCAGTTTGGTGAATGGCGATTGGAATCTAATTTTTGCTTCAGCGTGTTCACATCTTTATAAGCGCGACTGCTTGCTGCTTATCTCCCAGGAAAATCTTCTTCTGCCAGGCGTTTCTCAGGACAGTCTCTTTAGTTTAAAACTGCAGAAAGTTTACGATGATGGACCTGGGGGGAGCGTCGGCACTCGGCACGGGACCCAGAGAGCGATGAGCTCGTTGTATTTGTAGGTCCACACTGTCATCAATGAGGCGCTTCACATCGAATCAGCTTTTGCACAAAACTGATGACCGAACTTCCCTCGACCCCCTCTCGGGCTCCGTATATGCGCATGTTGGTTCTCCTTGCCCTCGATAGGGAGTCCTCCAGCTTTTTCTGCTCCTCTATGGACTGTCTGAGAGCACTGTAAGCCATCGCAGCCCAAGTTTCAAGCCCCTGTACTCGATTCTCAACTTCGTCCAGACGCTTGTCGTGGTCCTGCTTCTTAGCCGTTAGCTGCTGATTAGTTTCATCTTTTAGTTTGTTGAGGTTTTCTTTCAACTCGCGTCTGAAATCATCTTTACACTTGTTAAAGTCTGCTTTCAGCTCTGTGCGGAGGTCACTGATATTTTTAATGCCCTCATGAAGTGTCTCTGTCTCGGTTGCCTCGACATCTTCATCTGTGTTAACATGTGCCTCAACTTGTTCCTCTGAATTTGACTGTTCTTTAGGTTCATGCATCTTTTTTACCCTTTTCTTAGTCCCCCCCGCGCATGCTTTCAAAGATATTAGTAACTGTAGAACTTGAATTTTAGGAGGAAAAAACTGCTCTGCCCTGAGAAGCTCAGAAATTAGTCAGACATGTTGCTCCGCTGCCAAACGGAAGTCTCCATCAATCTTTGTTGTAGTTTTTATTAGTTCTGCAGAATAAAGTTTATTGAATTGACTTTATTGTTTTATTGGATTGGTCTTAATAAACTTGAACTTCCTTTTGGCTCTGTGCACATCACAGACGCTTCTTTACTGGGGCTGAGTTCTTTATGGTTTTACAATATTGTGATGAAGAATTAGGCTCATAAAAATCCTGTCAATGTTTGATCAAGTGTTTTTAAACTCCAATGATTTCCTTATGTCTGTTTACATCTCCAAAGCTCAAAATGCTCTGTTCCACCTTGTGATGTCATGTAGTGGTGGTTTTCAAGTTAACAGCTCCATTTTACCTTTAGTTCAGTCGAGATCGGCGACTCCAGGACTGAAATGATCTAAATGATTCTAGTGAAGACGCATGAAGTTTAAAAACACAGTGGAGCACCTGTATTACCACATGACATCACAAGGTGTTTTCTGTTTGAGAGAAAAACTCTCATGAATGAAACAAAACACAAGTCCAGGTTTGTTTGTGATGAGGAAACTACATTAGAACATAGATGTGAAAATGGTGTAATATGGGCTCTTTAAATAATTGCTTCCAACAAACAAGAATTGGACTTCCTCCTTACCAGTGTAATCTGGAGTACCCCAGGGGAGAGTAATCGCCCCAGCCCTGTTTATTTTGACGGCTTTACAAAGGTTTATCTTTAGGTTTATTACTCAAAAGTGTTAGAGGCCATGTACTCTACCTGATTTTCCTCATGTATTTGAGCAAAGTTTGTCTTGGCCCAGTCCACATGTGCTCCCTGTGTGACCGGAGCAGGACCTGTGTTCAGCAGTAAGTCAGACCTGAGCCCAGAGCATGTTGGACTCTGCCAGGGCCGCCCCTGTCACCGGTTCTGTTCATTGTTTTTATGGACAGAATTTCTAGGTGCAGTCAGGGGCCAGAGGGGGTCCGGTTTGGGGACCACAGGATCATCTCTGCTGTTTGCAGATGATGTTGTCCTGATGTCTTCATCGAACCAGGACCTGCAACATGCACTGGGAACAGGTCTGAACCAGGACTAAACCAGGACTAAACCAGGACTAAACCAGGACTAAACCAGACTAAACCAGGGCCTGTAACATGCACTCTGGTGGTTTAAACAAAGTGAGAAGTGACTGGGATAAAGATCAGCTCTTCTAAATCTGAGGTTACGGTTCTTGACCTGAAAAAGGTGGCGCCCTCTCCAGGTGATGGAGAGTTTCTGTCTCGAGTGGAGGAGTTCAGGCGTCTCTGCGTCTGCAGTGATGTGGTCGCTGTACTGGACTGTTGTGGTGAAGAAGAAGCTCGAGTCAAAAGACAAAACTCTTGATTTACCGCTCAGTCTACACTCCTGCCCTCACCTACGATCATGAGGTTTGGGTAAAGATCAAAAGGACAAGATGGAGGTTACAAACAGTAGAAATAAGTTTCCTCTGCAGGGTGGCTGGACACTGCCTTAGACAAAGACTCAGGTCAAATATATTCTCTGATCCTGGTGTATGTTTTGGCTGCTCCACCAGGCCTCTGTAATCTGACAATTATACAGCAAATATCAACATTGTAAAATACATAAAAACACTTAACTTCCTTATGATTTTACTGGAAATAATAGTTCAAAGTCAGACCATAAATATCAATGTTTGATGAAGTGTTTCTAACCTTTGATGAGTTGATAAATGAGGTCAAAGTCGACTGCAAACACGGCCTATAAAACCCCTCTCACAGTTTGGATCATGATTCTGCCTTTGAGATGAAGACCATGCAGTCGTCCATCTTCTTCCTGCTGCTTCTGGGTGTGTCCCTGGGTTTGGATGCTCCACCTGAGCTCAGTGAAGTGAAGCTGGTTCGGGGGAACTGTCCCCTGTACTGGTTCAGCTTCAACGGTCGCTGTTACAAGTATGTGGCCACACGTACGACCTGGGCTGATGCAGAGATCTACTGTTTGTCTCAGGGCGCCCACCTGGTGTCCATCCACAGCCTGGCAGAACACAACTTTGTGAAGAGTTTGATCCGTAATTTTGATCAAGCTCTGGGACGAACCTGGATTGGACTCAGTGACATCCACAAAGAAGGAACATGGCTGTGGACTGATGGTTGTCCAGTGGTGTTTACAAAGTGGAATGCCAGAGAACCAAACAGACTGTTCTTTAATGAAGACTGTGTGGAAATTGGTTATGGTAAAGAAAAAAATTGGAATGATGTTCGTTGCTTTTATAAATTTCCCTCTGTCTGTGCCACACGTAAACCTGGCTGTTAGAAATGATGTCACAGCCACAAACCAACACCTGGACATGGACTTTATCTTCTGATTTGATGATAAGGTTCTACATTCTGAATAAGTTTTGTTTTGTTTTGTGTGAAATACCAAACTGATTCTAATGTATGTAAACTGTAATAACTAAACACTGATCAAACAATGACTCTGTGATTACAAAACAAAATGTCAAATTAACCTGCATGCAGATGTGTAAAATTTATTTTATATTTTTTGTGTAGACAGTTTATAGTTTTGTCATTGACTTGATCTGTGAATAAAAAAACTGGAGTCTGCTGCCACTTCGTCTTGTTTCACTGTAAAGTGTAATGTTCATCTGATACAATACGTATAATAAATGTGCAGTGGATTCAGCTGCTGTTTTGTTTTTCTGTGTGTGACTGCGTCACTATTGCAACAACATCATTATTTCCAATTTATTCTGATGACATCACTTCAAATTATGTCCAACAACACCACTCCATATTTGGAGAACACATGAGTGATTTTACACTCACAAGATAGTTACAGTTTTTCAGTGAGTCGTTCTCATCTTTTTGTAGAAAATAAAACTCCTAAACAGGACCATGAATGAATGAATTTTTTTAATCTATTGTATATTTTTTCTTGAGTCTTTGGACAATCTTAAAACACACGACAATGTTTGCTAATGTGTACATTGTGTCACCATAGTAACTGCTGAACATTCTGACATGCACATACATGTAGACCCCTCCCAGTGACGTCACTGCAAAGTGTCAATAGAAATATCCAAGAACCAGCTGCCGTCTGTGAAAATCCAAAGTTTAAGCTCCTTCTTCTTCAGCCCAGTTGAAGAGATTCAAGAGCAAAAAGTCACAAGAGACGGACAATCCAAAACATTCACACTCCAAATATTGTATTAAAATGTGAACAAAACTCCAGCCTGCTGCTTGTGTCGCTCTTGTATCTGTTTGTTGTGGTTTTGTGCAGTTTTCTGTCCCTGTTTTGTTGTAGTTTTTATTAGTTCTGCAGAATAAAGTTTATTGAATTGACTTTATTGTTTTATTAGTGTTTTCTGTACGACCTTCACAGTCACTTATTAATCATCTGCAAAAACACAGGTGAAATTACTTTAATCTTCTGGTATCAGGGATAATAAAAAACACACTTTAAGAGCTTCAAGACAAAAGTTCAGAAGTTGTTCCTGTGGGTTTCCTTTGCACTCCCAGACTGCTGCCATATTCAGCCCATTGTAAACAAAGAAAGCAGTCATATAGAGTGGTTCAGCTGCAGAACGTCTGATGAAGTATAAAATGTCTTCATCCAAAGGAGGTTTTGTGTTGCTCCTTCTGAAGTGTGAACTGACCTTGGATTGGTCTTAATAAACTTGAACTTCCTTTTGGCTCTGTGCACATCACAGACGCTTCTTTACTGGGGCTGAGTTCTTTATGGTTTTACAATATTGTGATGAAGAATTAGGCTCATAAAAATCCTGTCAATGTTTGATCAAGTGTTTTTAAACTCCAATGATTTCCTTATGTCTGTTTACATCTCCAAAGCTCAAAATGCTCTGTTCCACCTTGTGATGTCATGTAGTGGTGGTTTTCAAGTTAACAGCTCCATTTTACCTTTAGTTGAGTCGAGATCGGCGACTCCAGGACTGAAATGATCTAAATGATTCTAGTGAAGACGCATGAAGTTTAAAAACACAGTGGAGCACCTGTATTACCACATGACATCACAAGGTGTTTTCTGTTTGAGAGAAAAACTCTCATGAATGAAACAAAACACAAGTCCAGGTTTGTTTGTGATGAGGAAACTACATTAGAACATAGATGTGAAAATGGTGTAATATGGGCTCTTTAAATAATTGCTTCCAACAAACAAGAATTGGACTTCCTCCTTACCAGTGTAATCTGGAGTACCCCAGGGGAGAGTAATCGCCCCAGCCCTGTTTATTTTGACGGCTTTACAAAGGTTTATCTTTAGGTTTATTACTCAAAAGTGTTAGAGGCCATGTACTCTACCTGATTTTCCTCATGTATTTGAGCAAAGTTTGTCTTGGCCCAGTCCACATGTGCTCCCTGTGTGACCGGAGCAGGACCTGTGTTCAGCAGTAAGTCAGACCTGAGCCCAGAGCATGTTGGACTCTGCCAGGGCCGCCCCTGTCACCGGTTCTGTTCATTGTTTTTATGGACAGAATTTCTAGGTGCAGTCAGGGGCCAGAGGGGGTCCGGTTTGGGGACCACAGGATCATCTCTGCTGTTTGCAGATGATGTTGTCCTGATGTCTTCATCGAACCAGGACCTGCAACATGCACTGGGAACAGGTCTGAACCAGGACTGAACCAGGACTAAACCAGGACTAAACCAGACTAAACCAGACTAAACCAGGACTAAACCAGGACTAAACCAGGACTAAACCAGGACTAACCAAACATGCACTCTGGTAGTGAAGTGGTTGGGATTAAGATGAGCTCTTCTAAATCTGAGGTCACGGTTCTTGACCTGAAAAAGGTGGCGCCCTCTCCAGGTGATGGAGAGTTTCTGTCTCGAGTGGAGGAGTTCAGGCGTCTCTGTGTCTGCAGTGATGTGGTCGCTGTACTGGACTGTTGTGGTGAAGAAGAAGCTCGAGTCAAAAGACAAAACTCTTGATTTACCGCTCAGTCTACACTCCTGCCCTCACCTACAATCATGAGGTTTGGGTAAAGATCAAAAGGACAAGATGGAGGTTACAAACAGTAGAAATAAGTTTCCTCTGCAGGGTGGCTGGACACTGCCTTAGACAAAGACTCAGGTCAAATATATTCTCTGATCCTGGTGTATGTTTTGGCTGCTCCACCAGGCCTCTGTAATCTGACAATTATACAGCAAATATCAACATTGTAAAATACACACAAAAAACAACTAACTTCCTTATGATTTTACTACGGAAATAATAATAAAAAGTCAGACCAAAATATCAATGTTTGATGAGAAGTGTTTCTAACCTTTGATGAGTTGATAAATGAGGTCAAAGTCGACTGCAAACACGGCCTATAAAACCCCTCTCACAGTTTGGATCATGATTCTGCCTTTGAGATGAAGACCATGCAGTCGTCCATCTTCTTCCTGCTGCTTCTGGGTGTGTCCCTGGGTTTGGATGCTCCACCTGAGCTCAGTGAAGTGAAGCTGGTTCGGGGGAACTGTCCCCTGTACTGGTTCAACTTCAACGGTCGCTGTTACAAGTACGTGGCCACACGTAGGAGATGGGCTGATGCAGAGAGGTTCTGTTTGTCTCAAGGTGCCAACCTGGTGTCCATCCACAGTCTGGCAGAACACAACTTTGTGAAGAGTTTTATCCGGAAGTTTGATCAAGCTCTGGGACGAACCTGGATTGGACTCAGTGACATCCACAAAGAAGGAACATGGCTCTGGACTGATGGTTGTCCAGCGGTGTTTACAAAGTGGAATGCCAGAGAACCAAACAGACTGTTCTTTAATGAAGACTGTGTGGAAATTGGTTATGGTAAAGAAAAAAATTGGAATGATGTTCGTTGCTTTTATAAATTTCCCTCTGTCTGTGCCACACGTAAACCTGGCTGTTAGAAATGATGTCACAGCCACAAACCAACACCTGGACATGGACTTTATCTTCTGATTTGATGATAAGGTTCTACATTCTAAAGAAGTTTTGTTTTGTTTTGTGGAAATACCAAACTGATTCTAATGTATGTAAACTGTAATAACTAAACACTGATCAAACAATGACTCTGTGATTACAAAACAAAATGTTAAATCAAACCTGCATTTGCAGATGCAGGTAAAATATTTTATATTTTTTGTGTAGACAGTTTATAGTTTTGTCATTGACTTGATCTGTGAATAAAAAAACTGGAGTCTGCTGCCACTTCGTCTTGTTTCACTGTAAAGTGTAATGTTCATCTGATACAATACGTATAATAAATGTGCAGTGGATTCAGCTGCTGTTTTGTTTTTCTGTGTGTGACTGCGTCACTATTGCAACAACATCATTATCAATTTATTTGATGACATCACTTCAATTACAACCACACTCCATTTTGGAGTGATTTTACACTCACAGATAGTTTTTACAGTTTTCAGTGAGTCGTTCTCATCTTTTTGTAGAAAATCAAACTCCTAAACAGACCATGAATGAATGAATTTTTTTAATCTATTGTATATTTTTTCTTGAGTCTTTGGACAATCTTAAAACACACGACAATGTTTGCTAATGTGTACATTGTGTCACCATAGTAACTGCTGAACATTCTGACATGCACATACATGTAGACCCCTCCCAGTGACGTCACTGCAAAGTGTCAATAGAAATATCCAAGAACCAGCTGCCGTCTGTGAAAATCCAAAGTTTAAGCTCCTTCTTCTTCAGCCCAGTTGAAGAGATTCAAGAGCAAAAAAGTCACAAGAGACGGACAATCCAAAACATTCACACTCCAAATATTGTATTAAAATGTGAACAAAACTCCAGCCTGCTGCTTGTGTCGCTCTTGTATCTGTTTGTTGTGGTTTTGTGCAGTTTTCTGTCCCTGTTTTGTCGTAGTTTTTATTATTTCTGCAGAATAAAGTTTATTGAATTGACTTTATTGTTTTATTTGTGTTTTCTGTACGACCTTCACACTCACCTATTAATCATCTGCAAAAACACAGGTGAAAATACTTTAACCTTCCGGTATCAGGGAGAATAAAAAAACACACTTTAAGAGCTTCAAGACAAAAGTTCAGAAGTTGTTCCTGTGGGTTTCCTTTGCACTCCCAGACTGCTGCCATATTCAGCCCATTGTAAACAAAGAAAGCAGTCATATAGAGTGGTTCAGCTGCAGAAACGTCTGATGAAGTATAAAATGTCTTCATCCAAAGGAGGTTTTGTGTTGCTCCTTCTGAAGTGTGAACTGACCTTGGATTGGTCTTAATAAACTTGAACTTCCTTTTGGCTCTGTGCACATCACAGACGCTTCTTTACTGGGGCTGAGTTCTTTATGGTTTTACAATATTGTGATGAAG